GGGAGGGGAGGAGGAAATGACAAAAACTGGAAACACTCTGATAGTGGAAGGAATGTCATACTCAACTCTGGAAAAACCATAGTTTTTGGTTTTTGTTTTAGGGCATTTGTTTCTATGCCCCCACTGCTTCAAACATAAAAGATTGTATATAACATCATAGCACATGCAGATGTCTACCTGTAGATTGTTTTGTACTTTCCATCCCTCCCTTTGTCTGATAAGGCAACTTCGTAAGTACAAGTATAAGGCAAACCATTGCTGAGTCTATCTTCACTTGAAAGGCCATTAGGAGGAGACCAAGTGAGCAAAACTGTTCTAGCCTGAATGTTTGACACCTTAGGAGATAAAAACAAGATTAGGTTAGCGTTAACGTCAAGATGCACATCATCATTTTAAAGTGCATATGTGTGTGGTATCAGAAAAGTTATGAACTGTAAATGTAGTTCAGAAAATGGTATTTTGATCTTGCTTAGATTCATTTTTTTAAAAACAAACCAACTTCCAAACTTCAGTTTATCGGGCAATGGAAGATTCTGGATAGCCTTAACATTTTTTCTGAACTTACGTCACATTGCAACACTGATTGCTTTGAGTACCTGGACTGATTAAAAGGGGCATTAAATTAAGTCAGACATCTGTAGAAAAATCTCACAATCTCAGATTAGATCAGATGGTGCAATTAAACAGCTTCAGTTATACTAATGGACTGAAATGGTAGCCAAGAAGAAAGTATTTACAGTTAACATACAATATTTGATCTCAATTAAGAATGTTATAGACTGAAAAAAAAAAGGGGGGGAGGAATATGAGGACAAATGGACATCTGAATTGGATTTCTGGCATTAGGACATAAACCAGTACAGCTAAAGAGAAAGGGCTTTTTCCCAATTTTTTTATTATGGACATATGGTTGCATAACTGTTTTGCATAAATTCAAACAGGGACTTGGAACTTAATGTACCGTAGCCAGCCAATGTTAAATTGGAATGCTTTCTTTCTTTTATGATCACCAGCTAGGACACACGTAGCCATGAGGAACATATGGCCAAACAACAAAATTTTTTTTTATCCTTTCATGAACTTTAATAATTTGTAGACTCCAAAGAGTAAAACGAATAGTGTTCTTATCCATAGAAGTAAATATGGGAAACTGAGAGAAGAACCAGGCTAAATGCTAAGCAGGTTACGCTGCTCCTATTATTGAAGTTTTGTCTCCTGAAGGTGCTATGCAGTAGCAAAAAACATCTTTTTTTTTTTGCCGGCCGGCTTCTTAAACAGCGATCCATGGGCCTGCTGGTTCAAATCCATCTCAGCCATGAAGTCAGTGTAGGCCCTCCACTAGGAGTGGCTCCGGAAATGGGGAAGTTTTTAGACGATACCGCACTGATGTCTAATTCCTGGTTATAGATTTCTCTGGAGAATGCAATCGGATATAGGAAGACGTTCATTTTATGAAATTCCCCACAGTTCTTCAGATTGTCCAACACAGTGGCACAAGGCTTTGTGGAATAATAGACCACCATGTGTAACTTCATGTATCTACTTGTATGGACAGCTAAGGGAGATTCCATTCATTGGACTTGAATTGGGGAGGAAAAACCCCCCAGTATATATGAGAAGTTGCTATCTGATGCAGACAATCTATTCACAAAGGTCATTTTGCCATTGTGAATACTCCACTGAAAATGTACAATGAAAATGTATCAGAAATGAATGAGATCTGTATTTTTGCATAGAATTACTATAAGCTGGTTAAATTTTTATAAGCTTTCTTTTAAGTTAAGAGAAAGATTTCTTACTATATAGAAACAAATACAAGTAGAATGTCCAAAGCACATTTTCTTTATGTGGCCATACAAATTATTTAGTTCTGCACATTAATTATTAGTAGTTATTACATTACAGCAAAAATGTCTGTCTTCAATTATGCAACCATATGACAGTTCATTCTGTCTACATGCCTGTCATAAATAAACATATTACAAGTTAAAATACTACTTTAAATCTTTCATGAAACACTTCCAAGCTGCCTGTTAACGCAAGACCTGGACTACACAGTGATTGGCATTTTTTCTGCATTCAAGTAGTAACAACAGTAGAAGAAATGTTGCATTAATCTTTGTCAGTAGTTTGTTTAAATGGTTTCATTCTTTTAAAAACACTTTAAATTATTTAAATCATATTGCAAAGCAACCTTTCCCCACTTGGCATCAACCATGTGCTTGTACTCCAATTCCCAAATTCTCAGCCCCTATGGCCAAAGTCTTGTTCCCCAAACATTTCAATACTGGCAAGTTGGCAGTGCTTTAAGAGCCAAGGGAAGTGAGGTTGACCAGGGCATAAAATCTGAACTATGAACAATTTGTTTTAAACTTTCAGGATTATATTATAGTAATTTGTTTGTTTGTTCATTATAGCTGCCCATCTCATATACGTGACTATGGGTAGCTCACAACAACTGAAAGACCAAAAACAGTAAGAAATTTACAAAAAAATGCAAATAAAAATATTATCATATTGAAAGTGTTACACCACTACGATCAGTAGCTGAGATACAAAACATTCACAGCATTCAATATAGCCATCGAACAGGCTCCATACCGCTACTGGACACCCAAGCCCAATGGCAAAACTATGTCTTCAGGGCCTTTCGAAAGGCCAGTAGGGTTGGGGTCAATCTGATCTCCAGGGGAATGATATTCCAAAGGGCGGATCCCTTGACAGAAAAGGGTCTCCTCATAGGCTCATTCAGATGACATTCCTTAATAGATGGGACCCTCTCCTGCCAGACCTAATGGAATGGGTAGATGTAACTGGGCAAAGGTGGTCCCTCAGATAACCCAGTCCCATGCCATGTAGGCCTAGTAATGTTCCCTTTAACTGAAATATATGATTAATAATAAAGGAAACCATCAATGTGGTTTATTGAGTCTTTAAGTCTATCCTGACCATGGTTCTCATATTTTGCACACTATTATCTGGCAAAATAAAGTTACTATTGCTTGGAATACAAGTGGCCATATTCCTTACGTACATGATGAAATCACATGTAGAGCATTTAGGTCATTACAAATGAATGCTACTAAATGCTTTTCACCAGACTATATTCCTGCATAATCTCTGAATACCACACATGTGAAAGGAAAGCTAGAAATAAAATGCAAGGAATGCTGGAGAGAGTGTTTTATGTATTTATGGGGACTATTTCTGCACATCCGCTTGTTTTGAAAAGGCAAATGACTCATGGTCTGACTGTAACAGCGGCTGCAGCAATTAAAAGTTTCAGATAAGGAGCTGGAGCTGGGTCAGAGAAGCAGTTGAACAGGCTGAGTTAAGCTAGCAAAGATGATGATCCTGGAACTGACTACTTTGCTGGACGTGATGCTTTGAGTTGCAACCTATTTTTGGAGGGGTCAGTGTTTAAAATGGATATTTTTTGAAAAATAACCAAAAGTCACACATCAGTTCAGAAGTGGAGCAGAGCATTCTGAAGTACTGAACCATTGAACCACTGAACTGAACATTCTGAACCACTGGAGCTGGTTAATGAGAACTGTTGCACTCTGTACCCAATTCTTCAGAGCTCCTTAATCACAATCAGTGCTCTTCCATGGCTCAGCAAGATGTAGCAATGCTGGAGCAGCCACCATGGACCAGAAATTTGAAACCATGGCTATTTGTTGGTTTAAAATTCTGCTTAATCAGAAAAAGTATTTGCTCTGAATTCACATGTGCAGAATTTGGATAATGAGATGGATCATATAGTCATGTTTATCAGCTGGAATGGTTTAATTTGGCATACATTCATGCTCACATTGGAGATCAATTAGCTATTTCATCAAAACTCAGAAACCCTAAGATGAATGGCTAGAACCAGAAGCTATCTAGAGAAATTAGTCTTTCCCAAGTTCAGGTATTACGTTAAGGTGGCTGGCTTAATCTTACTTTGTTGAATAAACCACAACTGGCTGAGTTCTACGGATGTGCAGTGCTTCAGAGGCAAACCTAAAAGGGTTTTCAGAGCTTGCAGGGAGCAAATGTAATATTTCTCTAAAACTCCTTAAAACAACTGTGTGATTCTGGGAAAAGACAAAGCTGCTTTAAAAAGTTGCAGAGAAGTCCCTGCATACTGAAAAGCATCTTTGGGATACAATCTGAAGCATTTCACAAGCTAACCTGGTTCTTTCAATGTGCTAAATTAAAACAGGGGGAGAAAGAAAGAGATGGCTTAGCACGTGTGAAGCCAGACAGAAAAGCTAGAATTTATAGTATGGCACATACTCCTCTTTTGACTAGTCAAAGGCAGAACACTAGGATCCCAGTATTTATAATGATAAGACCAATTCAATTCACACAATCTTGCAAATAAAATATAGTTATTATAATAGATTGACATAATATACATCTTATCTTTAATGTTGTTAATTTGGGTTAAGCTTATCTGTCACATACCTGTGGTTTCTCAATTCCAGAAAGAACATCTTGAACCTTCTTTGTTTCTGTGTCACATTCTGTGCAAGAGAGAAAGAAAGAGAGGGAGACAGGTTAGTTATACCTTCAGTGGCAATAAGGGCCAACCAACTTCTACATAAGATTTATGTATCTGAGGCAGTGCATACTAAATGCTCTCATCACAGATAATCCAAAGTAGGCTATAAACAAATTAGCATGGGTTTAACAACCATGTGCTTAGGCATGAAGAACCAGAAGTTGCTGAACTACAACTCTCATCAAATGTGGGCTATGGCAAGGGATCCTGGGAGTTGTAATTCAGCAATTTTTGGATAAACGGAATGCTTAGCAAGTGGTTCAACACTGAGCAGATAGTTAAACAAGGATGTATGATATCCTCTTGGATGTATAATGTACTTATGGAAAAATGTATAAAGAATGCTCATGGTGATGGCAGAGGTGTGCTGGCTGGGAATGTGAATGTATGTATATTTTTGTATACAGATGATGTTGTGGTGTTGACCAAAATAATTTGCACTGAATGTTAAAAAGAAAGGAGTATGGGTCTGAAAATTAATGTATTGATTATTGATTAATGAAATGTAATGAAAAGAAATCAAGTTCTAGGACATTATTTGAAGGGATTAATAATCAAGATTGTTAAAAGTAAAAGGAAGGAATATAAAGTTGGTTTATTTGATCAAGTTTAAAACAGATATGTTATTTCTGGTAACCCTTAGTGGACTTTTGCTGATCAAGACTGAACAATGAGGCTTTAAGGATTTGTTTATAGATAAGAGATGGGCTATGGGAGGAAGAGATCATTTGTTGTATTTTAAGAAAAGTTGATAAGTTACTAAAATTGTTTATATGTGTTGTAATGAAGGGGGAAATCACTTCTTTATATATTTTTCTTTTTCTTTATTATATTCTTATTTTTTCTTTTCTATTTTTCTTTTCTACACTATTTTTTCCTTCTCTTTTCTTTTTTAGTTTATATTAGTTTATCTTTTTAATTGTAATTTTTAATAAAGTTACTATAAAAATGAAAATTAATGCATTAATGATCAAAGAAGAGGTTTTTGTCAGGGGAAATTGAGTGAACAATTCCAAGTTATACATAATTGTAAGTAGATGAATAGGAAGCATCTTGGTATAACGTTTACTTAAAAATTGGGAAATGGATGGCAAAATTTTAAGATATGCAAACCCTGGTAGGAGGTATGTTATCTGTTATGAGGAATTAATATTTGTTGAAAGAAATGACATTGTGTCTAAAAGCACGCTTCTGCCCACACTGTTATATGGAAGTGAGAGTTGGGTAGTAAGGAAAGAAGTATGTTAGAAGTGACATAAAAGTGTGAATGAAAGTGCAAGTGATCAAACAAGGTAGAAGGTCAGGAATGAAAATGTGGTGAATGAATGTGGTCTGAATACAGGCATGAGTAACTACTATAAGAAGTACTTCTAGTTGGTTTGGTCATGGAGAAAGAATGAATGAGAACTGAGTTACAAAATGAATATATGAAGGAAGAGTAAATGGGTCAAGAGGAACAGGAAGATTGAGAAAGTCATGGTCAGAGTTGAGATCTGCAAGAACAAAGATGAAAAGTTTAAAGGATAAAAAGCAATGTATGAAGCACTGTACAGGTGGACTAAAGCAAGGATGGGTTGCAAGCATAGTAAGATATGAAGAGGTATAGTGTAATGAATGGTATTCATACAACCTAGATTTGGCTGTAGTTCCTTTTTCATATTTTGATTTCTTCAGTTTATTTTTTCTTACTTCCCCTCTGCACTTTGCATAACATTGCAAAAGTTAAGTGTGATGAAAGATTCTTTCTAGATAAATCTTGTATCATATGTATTTCTCTGTCTTAATTGGACATAAAGATGGACAGGCAAATTGGCAGGCACACAAGATTAAAAAAGGTGGTCTATGGTGCTATAAGTCCATGTTTTCCTCCTTGAATGCCATTTGGGTAGCAAGGCAGGATATAAATCAAAGGAATAATAATATTTACTATTGCTTATTTATAAATAGTATGAAACTGGTCTGAAATATGTTGTAAAAGTCATGTGGACATTGCTTTGACTGGATTTTGCCAAGAGGCTAATTAAGATAAAATCACTGTAACTGTAAAACAATCATCCCAGGGTTTCAGCTAAACTGTTCTTGTTAAGTACAGATTCTTGGAAAAAGGAAACATACTACAGGAACATTTTTTAGCCTTCCTCCAAGCCCAGCACTGTGATTCAGAGGTTTCATGGGCAAATTCCTGAGTCCTTGAATTTGTAGATGCTTGGCTTCGGGAACTACTAGATGAGCCAGAGAAATCCGATGTAGAGAAATGGTAAAATAAAGCATTCCAATGAGCAGGCTGGATCAGACCCAAAATCCTAGCTGGTTTAGCATCCTCTTTCCCACAGTTGTCTCATCCTACGTTTGTCCCCTAGCAATTGGTCTTCAGAATTTTCCTGCTACAAATGTATAGAAGACTAGTACCCACTGGTAGCCTTATCTTTTCCAAAGTGCAACCTTGCACAACCAGATTTCTGTATGTTGCCTTCCTTGTTTCCCCCCACTCCACCAGTCCTTTTTCATACACTCAATACCTGCTCTGTAGGACTGGGGGACTGTCTGTGGCAAATTTTGAGAGTCTGGCGGGAGGGTCTGAGGGAGAAGGGCAATGTGCCTCTGCTGGATTCCAGAAACAAAAGCATGTCTATTGCTAGAAATATTCCCACTGAATTTTAATCATGAATTTGTCATTTCTTTTCAAAGCCATCAGATTCGTTGATCATCACATCATCATGTGGCTAAACTCTGAATGTTGGGAAGAATTACTTCCTTTTTGCGTGCCTTTGGCTTCACAGTATTAATGCCATAACAAAACAAGAACCAGAACCTGAATTTTGGGGAAAAATTAATCTCCTGTGCATTGATAGAAAAGAGTATTTTGCATCATCTGAAAAAAATGGAAGCACTGTTAATAGTGTCATAAATAAAATAGGTTATTTATTTTATGTCAGCAAAATGCTAAGATCTGCAGAGAAAAGGACTTATGGATCTGCCCATAGTTTCATTGGTGTGAAATCTACTGTATAGCTAACCAGCGAAAATTGTCTTGATCCTGTGGATCCTGGAATCTGGAGCAGTGCCTATTTACATTCTAACACTCTAGCAGCTAGTCATCTTTGCTGTACAGGAACATACCAAGAAATAGAGAATATGATATTAAAAGATGACGATGCTAAAGCTCAGAGAATGACACATCATACTAAACTTATACGTTTCAGACCATTTCCTTTAAAAGGAAGAAAACACAGGATAATTATTCATTTTCTGATACAGACCGTCTGGTTTTTTCTTTCAGTATTAATAGCATTTTTTAGCATTAATATACTAGCAACTCATCCATCTGACACCACCTTTCAAAGGAAACCATATCTCTATGCTTCATTTTTTTTTGAATAACTTAATACAGAGTTGGCTATTGTCATTTCATCTGCCTTTCTGCTTCTGAATAGCTGAGAGTGGTATACTCAATGTCTGAAACCATTTCAGTCATGCAAGAAGCGTTTAAAATAGCCTTAGTGATATAATTCATACTGTTATCACCTCAAGGTTGGATCACCAGGTACTTTACACAGGCTGCCTTTGAAGATACTCAGAAACTGCAATTGATGCAAAAGGGGATAATGCGCCTGCTACAGGATGAGAGCTGTTTTGTGATCCCACATTGGCTTCTCATATGTTTCTGAGATTTATCTGAATCCTACGCAATAGTTCCTCCACTTCTTGTTAATTCTTCTTATCAAAAACCACAAATTAGAGGCAGGCTATGTTAGGTTTATAGACACTTCCCTTATATCTGCCAGACTCATCCGGACATTTTTAAAACATGTTTCTAATGTTAAAAAAACAAAACAAAACTGATGTGTTGCATTTCAAGTGATATCAGGCAAGAAGTATGCAGAAAAGTTCACATACAAGTTGATGAAAAAGAATTTGCTTTAGATATTTCTTTCAGAACAGAGGAGAATTTCAGACAAATTCTCTTGGGCTTTATAGGTTTAAATAAGCATTTAGAATTGGGCAGAAACTCATTGCTTTCTAGGACATGGAATTTGTCCCAAATTTTTGCACAGCTGAATTCAAATTCAGTGTTATCATTCTAGCCATAATTAAGATAGACCCAAACTATCTAAACTCAGACTGCAATATTCACTTTGCAATTTTCTGAAGAGTTTTTTTCCCCCCTAGTCCAGCTGCTAACAATCTCCTTTAAGCAACTATCCACATAATTTCCAGGGCTTCTGGAAATAGAGGGACAGGGATTCCTCTTTTTTTCCCCATAACATTCTTTGTTATTACATCACCTTAACTACCAGAAGCAGAAACTGAGTCATTCTTGACCGTTGAACCTTAACACATGGACCAGATTTTCTCTCTTCTGACTGCTTTAGAGCAAGTTCAGCAATGAGATAAAAATAAAATCCCAAAGATCAATTAACATCTTCTTTCACCTGTGGAAAATGCAACAAGTTTTCTAATGTAAAGGTCCATACGTTAACCCTTTTTCACCTCAATGATAACTAGTATCTTCTAGTTCAAGCACACAGTAGGAACAAGACACAAAAACTATAAAATAAATATACTAGCTATTTTTTAGCAGTTTTCTACCCCTAGTTTCCTTTAGATGTGTTGGGACCAATATTTCCCAAACTCCAATCAGAAGACAGATAACACTTATTAATAAACATCTCTGGCTGTTATAATCCTAAAACAACCTGAGGACACAGCACTGAGAAAATAAAACTGTAAGTACAGAGAATTACTGAAACTTAGAGGAAGGTTTGATAGGTGTCCTTTATTTTCAAGAAGATATTCTGCAGTTATAGGCAGACACGAGAAGCACACACTGATGGACATCAGACTTCTATGTGTGATTAATCATTTTTGGCCCACCCTCTAGATCCAAAATTAACTGGGAAAAATCAGATACCTTATCTGTTGACACAATTTTTTCCTATAATGGCACCAAGGCAAATTGTG